CTCTGTGTCATAACCTTTAAGGCCCTGCAAGTATGGCCTCTGTCTCTCCAACCTCATCTTATGCCTTTCTGCTCATTCACTACCTTTCATTGTCTTTTCACTTCTAGACACATTCTTTACTGCTTTAGGAGCTTTGGTATGTATGTTCCTCTGCCTGGAATTCTCATCTCCTCACACTTCATATGGCTGAATCCTTCTCATTCTCACCACCTCTTTTAAAATGGCCTTTCCTTATTCTCCACCCCGCCCACTATTCTCTATCCCAGCACCTGCTTATTTCCTTCATAGCATGTATCATGCTTTATAATTATTTTATTTGTTGACTTACTTATTTTAGGCTGTCTTCGTTGGTAAAATACAACAGAACATCTTTGTGTCAGGGACCATGTCTGTTCTTGTTCAACATTAAATCTCTAGCACATATAGAATTTGTGATATATGATAGACTCAAAAATATTTGTTGAACTAAGAAATGAATGAATGGCATGTGCTATTCAGTAAGGATTTCTTATATATACAAGATTCCTGTTCTTTCAAACTATGTAGTCCAATAAAGGATACATACCTTTTATCAGACAATTGCAGTAGAACCTAGGTGTATGATATCAGAAGGACATAGTATTATAAGAGCACATAAGGTCTGAAGAGTTCTGCTTCTACTGTGATACAGTGGTTTATTTGGACCAACCCTCCCACCAAGAACAACTGTAAAAGCTATATAAATTTTTTTCCTTATTTTAAAGAGGAAAAAATAAAAAGCTTGTGTCTGTAGAGAACAACTAAGAGAACCAGGATTCAAGGCACCAACGTCTCTGAGATGTGAACCACAGAGAAGGAGCACTAGAATTCTTCACCGCATTTTTCCTCAAGGAATTTACTAATTCCTAAGCCAGGAGAATGGGGGAGGTGTAATGGTACAAGAGACCAAAAAGCAAACCGTAGCAGAGTAGCTAGGAGGTTAAGAAAATAAACAGAATTTTTAGCAGTTTTGAATTTCAGGGCCTGCATGAGTTCATACCTGGTAAATATCTCAAGCTCTCAGTTTAAATCCTGGAGTGCTCTAGGAATAAGGACAAACTGGAAATATACCAGCTTTCACACAGACTGAAATTGAGCATCAGATTATCTCAATCTCTGATTAGGTCAGGCAATCTTTACTTTAATGAACTGCCAATGGAAATTAAATCCTTTCTGGAAAAATATATCATCCTCTAGAACCTCTTTAACTTTTTTCACATTTAATGTTTGGGCTTCAGTTTTTTAAAATCACCAGACATGCCAGAGACAGGTCAAAATCACTAAAAACTAAGAAAGAAAAACAAGATAGAACAGCCGTAAAAATAATGCTGATGTTTATTTGGTCCCATGTGAAATTTTAAAAACTGTAATTAATATTTTTAAGAAAAAAGAAATGACAAATGTAGAATTTCACTGGGAAGCTAGAGTCCATTCATTATATTCAAAATTTTAGAAAAGGGATGGAAAATATGGAAATAAGCATAAAAGATGTATGGGCTCTGGTAAAAGGTCTAACATACATGTAATTAGAGTCCAGAAGGAAAGGAAAGAGAGTGAGCAGAAGAAATATTTAAGAGATATTGGCAGAGTTTTCCAAAACCAATGAAAGATATCAGGCCAGAAATTCAAGGAAGTCTGCTAATGTCAAGCAGGATAAATAAAAAAAAACAAACAAATAAACACATACCCAAGTAATCATAGCAAAACCACTGAAAACCAAAGACAAAGAAGAAGTCTTGCCAGAGGATACATTACCTCCAGAGGACCAAAAATAAAACTAACAAATGATTAAGATATGATGAAACTTGGAAAGCAATGGCATAGCATTTGTAGAGTGATGAAAGAAAATAAGGGCTGGTGTAGAACTGTATATACAACACAAAGTACCTTAGGGGTGCCTGGGTGGCTCTGTAGGTTAAAGCCTATGCCTTTGGCTCAGGTCATGGTCCCAGGGTACTGGGATCAAGCCCCGCATCCATCTGGCTTTCTGCTCAGCAGGGAGCCTGCTTCCCCCTCTCTCTCTGCCTGCCTCTCTGCCTACTTGTGATCTCTGTCTGTCAAATGAATAACTAAATCTTTTTTTTAAAAAGGTACCTTAAAAAGTGAAGATAAAATAAAGACATTTTCAGCCAAATAAAAACTGAGCACAGCTATACTAAAGGGAATTTTTTTAGTCAGAAAGATTGTGGAGGAAATAAAAAGATATTGGCTGTTTAAACAAGAAAGAGAGAGAGACAGAACATAGGAAATCAGATCCTACCAATGGGTTAAGTTACTGTATTTTCATTATAATATAACCATTTAAAATTGGAGGTGGTAGCTCATGAAATGTCCTGGATATTCCTTTGGGTAGAAAAGCAAGTTGCAAAAAGGCATGTAAATTTTTCTCTCATGTGCATTCAAAAAAAATGTTTGTGTATGCATTGACAAGCTTAGCGGTGATGAGAAGGATGAGCTTAAAATTTTATTTTATACCATTCTATCTGTTTGTATTTTTACCATAATATATTTTTAACTTTTAAATTAAAATTAGTTAAATTAAAAAAAAAAAAGATTGTGGAGGTACAGAAATGCAGAAAGGATTAAAAACCAGAAGAAAGTGTTAATATGTGGTTAAAGATAAATGGGTGTTGTTGTATAAAATAATAATGTCTTAAAAGGTTAAAATATGTTTATATATAAACATTGTATATTAAATTATAAATATAGAGTGTATCTTGTCTGTATAGCATATATAGAAATATATATAATAGTTAAATATATATACACACACATATAAACACACATACTTAAAATGTATATAGACTATATGGTACATTATATCACAAAAAACAGAGAGGAATGAATGGAGTTAACTGATTTAAGGTTCATGCATTGTATGGGAAGTAATAAAAATATCAAATTATAGTGGACTATAATAAGTCAAGAATGCATATTGTAATCTCTGAAATAACCACTAAAAATAATAATAAATGAATGTGTAACAAGCTAATAGAAGAGAAATTAAAATAACAAAAAAATGATGAATTCAAAAAGCACAAAAGAAGAAAAAATGAAATAAAAACAGAAGTGACAAATAGAAAATAAATAGTAGGGTGATAGTTTTAAGTCCAAATACAGCAGAAATTATATTAAATGTAAATGGACTAAGTCCTCCAATTAAAAATTGTCATCTGTATTGTAAAAAGACAATAATTTGTCTTTGTAAAAATTTGATTGTAAAAATGGCAATAAAAGACCCACCTTAAATAGAAAGACATGGCAAACTGAACATAAAAGAGTAAAAAAAAGTTACAATGAAAGATAGCTGGTGTGGCTTTATCGATATCAGAGAAAATTAAGGTGAAAAGGATTACAAGATATTAGGAGGGACATTTCATATATTTAAATGGATTGGTTTATTAGAAAAATATAACTCTAAATTTACATCTCTTAATATAGCCTCAAAATAAAGATAAGCAATCTATGATCCAGTCTTGTGAATTAAGGGGAGGCTGAGAAAAGACTGAGACTGAGATAAGGGGTAGAGAGATGAACATAGAAAGAAAGAGTATTCCAGAAGGAAGGAAAAGCATTTTCAGAGACTGAGGGCAAGAAAGTCTTAGAAACTTAAAGTGATATAGTCTTGCTAGAATGGAGAGAGAAAGGAGGGTGAGGAGGGAGAAAGAGAGGGAGATTGAGATTGAGGAAGAGGAATGGGAGTGGATGGGAAGAGGATTCCCTCATGAGAGAGCAATTATTGTTAAAAGGGGGCTAGAAAATATGAGAATCATAGATATGATATTAAAAAGATGGGACTTTTTCCTGGAAAACAGGAAGTTTTGATGTATTATATGGTGGCTTGATCAGACTTTTTTCAAGAGATCTCTCTTTCTGGTATGAGGGGAATGAATTGGAGGAAGGCAGGACTATTGGCAGAGAGACCTATTTCAACAATACAAGTGAGATGATTCAATAATACAAGTTGGCTGAGGTTGTGGAAATAGAAGGGAACAGATTTTTTAAATAAAGTATCCCAAGCTTGGGCGCCTGGGTGGCTCAGTGGGTTAAGCCTCTGCCTTCGGCTCAGGTCATGATCTCAGGGCCCTCGGATTGAGCCCCACATCGGGCTCTCTGCTCAGTAGGGAGCCTGCTTCCCCCTCTCTCTGCCTGCCTCTCTGCCTACTTGTGATCTCTGTCTGTCAAATAAATGAATAAAATATTTTAAAAAAAAAGTATCCCAAGCTTGTGAAATATTTAAATTTTTAGTGGGTTTCTGGATTAATGAACAGGAAACTCAGCAATAGACCTAGGGGTTGAGAAATTTTTAGGACTGCAATTTTTTTCTTTATGTCCACAAAACCAATTGCATGGCAATGTTGTCTTTCATTTCCAAAGGTCAGGTTTTATCAAACCACTGTGGATTAGTTGTAACTTTTGTTGGCAGATAAAAACAATTAAACTCCCTTGACTTTCTAGTTTAGAACTCTCTCCCTGTTTGTTTTTTTAATTTTAGTTGACTTATTTAGATTCCTTGAGGAATGTGTACATTACTTGAAGTCCATTAAGGAGAATAATGTGGCTCTCTTGACATAGCACAACTTCTTAAGCTTCTTATTTGTTAACATGCTTTCTCAAACAAAATCCTGTATTAAAAGAGAAACAATAACCCATCAAGTAATGTAGTTATTTGGTTTATTATCTAACTACTTCCACTAGAATGTATTTTTTATGAAAGCAGGGACATTTTCTCTTTGTTCAAGCCTATCTCCCCCTATACCTAGATTAGTACTCAGCATATACTAGGTACTCAATAAGTATTTATTAAAGAATAAGTGAATGACGGGAATGAAGAAATGAAGGAATTTGCCTTAGGTTAATCAACTTCATTAAAATGTTTCTTTTCATTTCAATCTTACAAATTCATTTTATTTTCATGTAAAGTTTTGAAAGTCTGATATTAGAATGTTTGAAAATAAAGTAATTGTTTTTCATATTTGCAGGACTATCTCAAGCAGGTGCTGGACATTGATCTTCATGCTCAGATCCATTTTGGCAGGGTTTTTATGAAACCAGGGTATGAAAATAATCTTACTATCTCATATATGGGGTTGGTTTGGCTTGCTTTAACTAACAAAATTTTAAATGCTTTCTTCTTACATTTTCTTTTTTTTTTTCTTCTTACATTTTCTATTATGTATTATTTGCTCTAATAAAAGAAATATTATACTATTAGAATTCCTTGCCAAGTCTAGCTCCTATCTGAAATGGGAATTCATCTTCCTTATAAATCACCTGGGTTTGTTATAAATGAAGCAAAGCAACTTTCTAAACCTCTTTAGTTCCCATATCTAGTTCCTTCTTTCTATTTCTCTTTCTCTTCATAGTGCTTCTTTCTCTCATTTTAAAAACATTCTAGTATGAAAATTCTAAAAATTTGGGTGGCATCTGGGTGGCTCAGTCAGTTAAGTGTCTCCCTTCAGCTCAGATCATGATCCCAGAATCCTGGAACAGGCTCCCTGCTCAGCAGGGAGTCTGCTTTTCCTTCTGACCCTTGCCCCTCTAGTGCTTTCTCTCTCTCTTATAACTAAAATCTTGTGCTTGCTTCAGCAGCACATATACTAAAATTGGATCAGATAAACAAAATCTTTTAAAAAAGAAAAAAATTCTCAAAATGCACAAAAGGAGGGAGTACAATGAAACCTCCGTGGAGGAGGAACTATCACCATTTTTCCAAAACTGTTTTATCAATCCCCTTCCTCACCTTTTTGAGGGGACAAGGTACTAGATTGTTTGGTGTTTTTTGTTTTGGGGGGTTTTTGTTTATTTTGGATTATTTTAAAGCAAATTCTACAATGTCATTTTGGTATACATCTCAAGTAATAATAATAGTAGCATTCTCTTGTGTAATCACAATGGTATTTTTCACCTAACAAAATAAATAAGAATAACTTACTGTCATCTGATACCCTGATCATATTCAAAATTCTCCCAAATGTCAAGAAAAAGAATGCCTTCTTACATGTTTTATTTGAATTAGAATTTAGGTCATGTCCATTCACTGTATTTGTTGTTAAATCTTTATTACATAATAACATTTACCTCCAACCTCCTTTTTTTGTCATGCCATTGACTTGCTGAAGAAACTACATCATTTGTCTTTACAACTGGATTTGGATAATCACTTCCTTGTGGTGGTGGTTAACTTGTTCCTCTCTTTTTCCAGTATATTCTACAGAGTGGAAGTTAGATCTAAAAGCTTGGTTACGTTCAGACTCTTTTTTTTTCCTTTGCAAAAATACTTCAAAAGTAGTGTTTCATATTGTTTCTTACTACCTCCATGGAAAAAGAAAAATAACTACATTCCAAGATCTGGCACAACTCCTAAAGTTGTGGAGGTCCCATAATCTGGCACAACTCCTAAAGTTATGGAGGTCCTATAATCAGTTGTAAATCCTCAAAGAATGCCAAACATTGGTGTTGAAATATGTGTGGCCATGTCTTTAAGCCATATTTTGCCTGTTTAGACCCCTACTACTCTATAAACTATTCACTATTCAAACACACCTCCGTACTGTCAGGGACAACAGTAAATAATGGTTTAGTTCAGAACTGTACTCTGATGGGTGCTCATGTGAACCTGAAGAGAGAGTAGATGTGAGACTTACTAGTTGTTATGTGAGTAATTTATCAGTAAATTCCAGAAAACTTTTTAAAGTGTCAAGCCAGCCTTCCTAACCTCCCAGATTTGTTAGGTACCTCTCATCAGGTCTAGGACAAAGATAAGGCTTTACCGCCATGATTTTGTCATTTAAGTATGAAGTTAAGATTAACCCTAAGTCTTCTGCACAATTTGATAGAATTTAGAATTCTTGACATTATATTTCTGTAGTTGCCCCAATATTACTACTCCTAACAAAGCCCATTTATTATTGAAACTGTTAGATTTGGACCATTCTCATTAAGAATATTTTGTCTTGAAACACCTGGGCGGTTCAGACAGTGAAGCATCTGACTCCTGATTTCAGCTCAGGTCATGATCTTAGGGTCTTGGGATCAAGCCGCACATTGAGCTCCACACTCAGCAGGGAATCTGCTAAGATTCTCTGCTCCTACCACTTCTCACTCTCTCTCTCTCTCTCTCAAATAAATCTTTTTTTTTCTTAAAGAATATTTTGTTTTAAGCAAATATTACTGTACTGTGAGTGCATGGGCTTTTTTTTCTGCCCCTATGGGCAGTACTAGTTCAATTGGAATACAGAGGACATCCCAAAAGCCTGTCAGCGTGCATCTCGCTAACCTCAAAAATTGAATTGGCTATTCTATTTTATAGTGAAAAGGAAATTGATATTAGTTGCCCTCATCTGTAGAGGAGAATTATTTGTGGGTGGGTTTGTTTTTTTTTTAAGATTTATTTACTTATTTATTTTAAAGAAGGGCGAGGGGGCAGAGAGAATTAGAAGAGAATTATTTATAATATCTATTATTTAAATTAATCTCAGCATCTGTGATATATATAATTTTGGTACTATTTTTATTTTCAGTTTATTTTTTACCACTCATTAAGGCCCATCAGTTCCTAATGTTTATTTCCCCCCCTTAAAGTCATTACACTGTGTGACCTCAGTCATTGTATAAATACTATTACATTCTGATCTCGAGAGGAAAACTGAATAGGTGCTCAGTTCCAAGGAAATGGCTTTCCAGAACTTAAACAAAAGCTTCACAGTCTAGCAATAGGACACTCATGATACAATGCATGATAAAATATTTTGTTGTAATAGAATCTTTTTAAATGAGTACCTTTTGAGAAATCACAGAACCTGTCTGCAAGATGCAAAAGGTGATTTAAATTGGCTTTACATATAGTAGAAGGGAAGTGTAATGCACTCCCTCCTCACTGTTATTATATGTGTTAGTTTGCTATAATAAAATGGTTTAGAAGTTTAAATAGGCTTCCTTTACTTGGCCAAAATTTATACCTGTCTAAAGATGAGAAGAATTTAAAGGTAATTGCTCCTTAATAGTAGAAAAAGAAGAAATATAAAAAGCTCAAGAACAATTTAGCTTTGCTCTTCCCACATGTAGTGCATTAAGAATGTAATTAACCTCTTTCATTTTAGACAGATACTCAAAAAAACATTTGGATTTGGAGTATTATCAGTCAGGACTACCAATCACAATATTTGTGGGTCATCTACAGTGAACATAGCTGTTATCAAGAGTGTATCTTGGAAATTATTTTCATCACATAGTAACAGTCATGGCCAAATAACCTAGTCATAAATTGATATGATAATCTGATCTAGTTTTTCTAAAAGACAGCAAAGAATCAGAAAGTAAGCAAAAGAGGTCTCAGAGTAGCCAAAAATAGATGTTACAAAGTATACATACTAACACTTCACAGCAAACCATCTAAGGGCCTTATCTAATTACCAGCCATAAAGTTAGTGAAATCTTGGTTCAAATCTTTGTTTCATCACCTAGTAGCTAGGAGATTTGGACCAAATTTCTTAATCTCTGAGTCTGTTTTCTCATCTATAAAATGAGATGATAATTGTCACCTCATGGGATTGTTGTGAGAGTTAAAATGAAATAATGGATGTAATGCAGATGTTTCTTTAAAAATAGTAACATATTATTATTATTATGACAATATAATTATTACTACTGTTCTTGGTTCCCAAACCTAAAGCCAGCTTTTTTTTTTTTTTTCTTTTTTAAGAGAGGGAGTGTGGGGAGGGGCAGAGTGAGAGGGAGAGAGAGAATCTTAAGCAGGTTCCATGCCCAGTACAGAGCCCAATAAGGGGCTCCATCTCACAACCTGAGATCATGAGCTGAGCTAAAATCAAGAATCAGCTGCTTAAATGACTGAGCCACCCAGGCACCCCCTAAAGTCAGCTTTAAGTGCTCAGATGACAGAGTCTAGCATTAAGGGGAGCCACAGAAAAAAACTAGGAGGAAAAAAGAAACAAGAAGTGCAGTGTGTAATGTAGAGTTATGGTTTATAGGTAAAAACAATACATAACACACCCTTGTGACCCAACGTCACTTTAGTGTAGCAGAGTAGAATAAGTTAGTAATGATGGGAGCTCTTGGGAGGCTCAGTCAGGTAAGCATCCAACTCTTGATTTAGGTCCAGGCCATGATCTCAGGGTTGTGAGATTGTACCCCACCTTGGTCTTACACGCTGAAGGTGGAGTCTGCTTAAGATTCTCTCTCTCCCCCCGCCCCTCCCCTGCCCCTGACCCTGCTTTCTCTCTCTCTCTCTCAAAACAAACAAATAAACAAACAACTTAATGATGTTTTCAAGTCATCAAAAAATGCTAATGTTTATCGGATAATTCCAAAAGGTATGAGTGGTCCAGATTTGAAAGACCAAGCTGCAAAAATAATAAAATAAAATGATAAATATAATAATAATAAATATATAAATAAATATAAATAATAAATAAAATAATAAAAATAAAAGCAATTAGGTACTTAAAAAGATAACTTTTCAACTACATGGAAATTTTAGCATTCCCTAAGGATTCTGTAATGCTCAAGTTTCATTAATATAATGAAATTTTTAGCTGGAAGTTCATATAAAATATAGTCAATAAGAAAAAAAAAATTCACTATTTTTGACTGCCTGCCCACTCTGTGCCACTCACACTCATCCCTTCCCACATACCCCCATGATAAGGATTCATATCAGATAAAATTCATGTCAGAATCTTGAGGAAGTATAATTTGAAAATATTTTTAATTACTGTCGCTTTAATTTTGTTCTAGTCATGATATTTTATTTATTTTGACATTTCAAAAAATTACCTTCATAGGAGGCCAGTTTTTATGCTCATTGCTGAGTATAGTTTTAAAAGGTTGAGGAATAATCATCTTGAACAGCAGGCATTTATCTGATAGACATGTATTACCAGGTAGTCCTCTGATAATGAGAATGATGTTCTTCATTCTCCAGCAAAAACAATATAGACATTATTAGCCAGAGGGGTGGAGAAACCCCGGGATTTGAGATACACTTCTCTGGCACTAACAGGAAGGGGGAAGAAAGTAAGCTGCAGAAAACCAAGAAGTTTGGTTACTTGAAAACAGAAGATACTAAAAACAAATTAATTTAAATGCTCTTGAAACTTCAGGGTATAAAGGCTTAGGGAAGAGTCAACAGAAAAAAAAATACTTTCATATGATAAATATCCTATATGCAGAGCCACGTAGCAAGAAAACTAAAGTATTTAATTTACTCATCATATTACTTAGCAGTCACTAACAAATAACCTCTTTTATTCTCTAGCCTGCCAACAACATTTGCAACTTTGGATATTGATGGTGTAAGAAAAATAATCTTTGCACTACCAGGTAAGAATAATTAAAATAGTTTCTTTTGCTTTTTCTGGAAAAATGATCAAAATCTTTTTGAATCCCTCTCAGAGCATTTGATTTTGAATCTGAAAGACCTGGGCTCAAGACCCAGCTTTACTTATGGTATGACCTTGGACAAATCACTTAACTTCTTTGAAGCTATTTCTTCACCTATAAAACAGGGCTGAAATCTGCTCTGTAGGATTGGTGTAAAGGTCAAATTAGATAGTATCTTTCAAAGCATATTCCAAACCCTAAGATGATAATCAAGTGTTAGCTGTCCCTAGATCCTTCTGGAGGTACCTGCTTTTCCTTACAGAAAATTGGTCAAAGTTAGTAGTCTAGTCACCTCCCATAGTAGCAGTATTGTGTTCAGAGGTCCAAACATCCTTGAATCAACCATACAGGTAAATACTAGAGCAAAAAAATACAAAGCTGCCTTTGGTCCTTTCCAGATTTGGAGTGGGGCCAGGAGACAACACGGAAGGAGGGACTAATAGTACTGGTGCTTCTCAGCCAAATCCCAGCCATCATCAGTCTGACCACATCACTGTCCCCAGGCTTGCTCCCATGTGAGCAGAAACTCATATGTTCAAATTGTAGAAAAAGTGAAATGTTTCCATTTATAAAGACTTCCAATTTTAATTTTTATTGATTTTGGCTTACAGTTAAAGCCATGCTTTTTAAGTCATTACCAATGTGATAAATTCTAAAGCAATTTAGAAGTTTTGTATGCCTCCTTGTTATTTTTTCAGCTTTTAAAGTTATCTTCTGATCTGTAGCAGTGTTCCATTCTCTGCTTCTTGGCACGATTCCTTCAGAAAATAACCTGCTTATTCCTTTCAAATGCACAAATATTGTGACTTTGGGATATTTATCTGCTTGTCATATTAACTAAATTCAAAATAGAGTATAAAGAAAGGAAGGCAGGCAGAAAAATTTGAAAAGCTTTTTTTTTTGAGTTTTGAGTTTTGAAAGCATTTTTAAAGTTCCTATGTATAAGCATAAAAGAGATTAGATTTCTATCCCATAAGAAATTTTAAGAGAGAAGACATGTAAGTAAATTAGTCCTTAAAATGTATCTACAATATAGAACTCCTTGGGGCCTTTATTAGGGCCTTTAATGTATATATATCATATATATATATTATATATAATTATTATAATATATATATATGATATATATACATATACTTATGTACTCTGAAAAGAAAAATGTGGTCCTCTTCTTCACTTCATTTTGCCTACACAAGACTTACTCTGTCTTCAGAAGATATTATTTGACCTATAGACAAAGAAACAATGTTACAGTGGAGGCCTATTTTGCTGTTACTTCTAAACTTGATTTGCCAAAGAAGTGATAATTAAATAACCTATTTTCAAATTGCTACTTTCACTTGAAATTTTCTCTGCCCAACCTGAATGAACCAAAAGAGGGCAGCAATAACCCAGATGTTCAGATTGTGGAACCAGTAAAGTGGTTCCTTTTAAAAGGATTTTAAAATTCATGATTATATTTCTGCTTTCCATGATTATATTCAAAGCCATTATTAATCTTGATAACTTTTAAAGCAGTTTAAAAGATTTATGTATCTACTTCATTTTGTGGAAGAGTAAAATTAGATTCTGAAAGGTTTGGAACTTTCCCTGAACGAAAAAGTGTTGCTCAGTTTATTTAGTTAACAGTACCACACAAGAAACTAAATCTGTGATTCTCAGCACATTTTTTTTATAGCCTACTCTTCCTTCCTTCAAAGTGCATGACACACCCAGATTTCTTCTTGGAAAGGTACAACTGAATTCCTCAAATTTTTCTTATAACTTTTTTTTTTAAGATTAATTTATTTGAGAGAGAGAAAGAGCAAGGGACAGCAAGGGCAGAGGGTGAGGGAGAGAGTCTCAAGCAGACTCCACACTGAGCACGCAGCCAGTTGTGGGGTTCGAACCCCCAACCCCAAAATCACAACCTAAGCCAAAAACAGAGAGTCAGGTGCTTAACTGACTGCACCACCCAGGAACTCCAGTTTTTTCTTATAACTTTAAAAGAATTTGATATTTCTATTAGTCTGCTAAGGCTGCCATAACAGAGTATCACAGACCAAATGGCTTAAACAACAGATAATATATTTTTTCACACTTCTGGAGACTGAAAGTCTAAGACCAAGATGCCAGCAAAGCTGGTTTCTGTTGAGTCTTTCTTCCTGGCTTGCAGATGGTCACCTTCTCACCATGTCCTTATGTGACTTTTCTTCTGTGTGTGTGCACTCGGGGTGTTTCTCCCTCTTTTTATACAGACACCAGTCTCATTGGACTGGGACCTCACCTTTAAATCTCATTTAACTTTGATTACCTCTTTAAAGGCCCTAGTATCTACAAATACTGTCATACTGGGTGCTAAACTTCAACATATGAATTTGTAGGGACACAATTCAGTCCATAACAGTATTTATCTTCAAGTCCTTTGTGTCTTAAATCATTTAGTTTTTTTTTTAATATAAAGAAATTTCTGGGTAGAGGGGGGATTATAGATACATTTCTTTATGCTTAACCTATTTCTAAATGTTTTTGTCCTCAGCGTGTATTACCATGGCAATTTTAAAACATCTTTAAAAATAGCAAGTAGAATCTGCTTTAAAATTTATCAAGATTGGTAATGGCTTCCAATGTGTAGTTCTCAGAAAAGTGGAAATAAATGGTGTAAACAGCTTCTGGGAATCAGAAGTTTCTGCATTTCACTGGTAGACTTCATGTTTCCACGTCCTGTGGCATTTGGCTGATTGTGGCTCTATTCTAGAGTCCTTTGGGATTTAGAAGAGGAAGTGGTTAGTCACCTCACTCTTTATGATGAATGAAGGTATAGACAGAATTATTTGGCAAACTTTTGTATGTATACTATAAATAACTGCTTGGTTGACTTTCAGGGAATCCCGTGTCAGCCGTGGTCACCTGCAATCTCTTTGTGGTGCCTGCACTGAGAAAGATGCAGGGCATCTTGGATCCTCGGCCCACCATCATCAAAGCCAGGGTAATGTTATCTAAATGACCAGGAACCAAAACTGAAGCCTAATAACAATTAGGGATATGATTTCCCAACTGCCCAAAATATCTAAAATTTTATATTAGTTTTGAGGGAAAATGTGGTTATATTCCCCCCTTCATGATAGAAAATGGAGAGAAAAGGGTCCCTTTTATTCCCAGTCCAAATTATTCCACGACTTCTAAAGTGAATCATTTTCTCCAGCTAGAATCCATACGGAAGTGGATAGGTAATGATAAAATGGTAAATAGAATGAGACTAGCACTACCCTAAAACTAAACCTAAAAGGGACAAGAATTCCCTTTCCATTGTACAAACTCACACAGGACAGCAATTTATCTGCTTGCTTTTTCTGGGACCTCACTGATAAATTTTAAACAGTCCAGAAAGAGATAATCAATGGACTAGAAGAATCAGAAGTGAATCAGAAGGAAAGGGTGACCACATTGTGTGGAAAAGGAGAATTAAGGCTGAGGAATTATGCTTATAGTAAAAGTCATCCAGAAATTAGAGTCTCCTTCTCCATCAGCACTAAATCAAATTCAATTTGATTTACTACTACTCAACTGATTATATAACACACTTTCTGTATAACCAATGAACGATTTTCTTGGCGATATAACCTACCTCAAGCCATTGACCTTTTAAAAGTTTGATTGAGATACAACTGATATACAAAAAATTGAGCATTTTAATGAAATTGGATGTATGCATATGCCCATATCATCACCACAGTCAACTTACTAAACATACCCAATACCTCCATCAATTTTCCTGCGTTTTTTTGTGGTTTTGTTTTTTATGTGTTTGATTTGTGGTATGAACATTTAACATGAGAGCTACCCTTTTAACATATTTTTAAGTGCAGAATACCATGTTGTCTATTATAGGTACTATGTTGTACAAGGGATCTCTAGAACTCATTCACCTTGCAGAAGAGAAAATTTATACCTGTTGAGCAACAATTCCCCATTGCCCCCTCCCCTCAGCCTCGGACAATCACCATTCTATTCTATGCTTCCATGACTGACTATTTTAAATAGGCATCTCATATAAGTGGAATCATGCAGTATTTATCCTTCTGTGACTGGTTTATTTCACTTAACATAATGTAACCTAGGTTTATCCATATTGCCACAAATGGTAGGGTATCTTTCTTTTTTAAATCTGTGAATAATATTCCATTGTATGAATATAGCATTCTCCTCCATTCATCTATCAATGAACACTTGAGTTGTTTACATATCTTGGCTATCGTGAATAATGCTACATGGGAGTGTCGATATCGCTTTGAAATCCTGATTTCAATTCTTTAAGATATATACCCAGAAATAGAATTGCTCTGTCATATGTTCACTTTTTAATTTGAGAGAAAACCTCATACTGTCTTCCTCAAGCACTAGTGGCTGAACCATTCTACATTCCTACCATTATATAAGTATTTCAGTTTCTCTACATCCTTGAAATACTTACTTTTTGTGTTGTTGTTTTTATAATACCCATCCTAACAGTTGGGAGATGGTATCTCATTGTGGTTTTGATCTGCATTTTCCTGAGATTAGTGATGTTGAGCGCTCTTTCATATACCTAGTGGCCATCTGTATATCTTCTTTAGAGAAATGTCTATTCAACCCCTTTGCCCATTTTTTTTTAAGATTTTATTTATTCACTTGACAGAGATCACAAGTAGGCAGAGAGGCAGGCAGGCAGAGAGAGAGAGGAGGAAGCAGGCTCCCCGTTGAGCAAAGAGCCCGATGTAGGGCTCGATCCCAGGACCCTGAGATCATGACCCAAGTGAAGGCAGAGGCTTAACCCACTGAGCCACCCAGGTGCCCCCTCTTTGCCCATTTTAAAATCAGATTGTCTTTTTGCTATTGCATTGTAAGAGATTCTTATATATTTTGAGCATAGAACCCTTATCAAATAGATGGTTTAAATATTTTCTCCCACTCCCTTGGTTCCCTTTTCATACTGTTGTTTCCATTGCAGTGCAGAAGCTTTCTAGATTGATGTAGTTCCACTTGTCTAATTTTTATTTCATTGCTTATGCTTTTGGTGTCAAATCTTAGAAATCATTGCTAAGACCAATCAAAAAGCTTTTCCTGTATATTTTCTTCCAGTTTTATAGTTTCAGGTTTTACTATAAGTCCTTAATCCATTTTGAGTTGATTTCTGTGTATTGTGTAAAAAAAAGGAGTCCCAATTTAATCTTTTATATGTATATATCCATTTTTTCAAATACCTAAACTGTTATCAGATATGACAGATAACTATGATTCGTTAACAGGAAGAACACAAGGCATAGAAGAGGAAGAAGAAATATTAATAAAATATTAGTGTGAGAATATATAGGATAAAAAATAAAGAAAATCTAGGCTTCAGATATTCTTAACATTGACCTTTTAAATAGTGAGATTTTTGTAGACTAGTATATGAAGGGATATCCTCCTTTTCTTAAAAGTTTAATAAAAGTTCAACTAGATATTTCTGAAAACAAATTATTTGGGGGTTTTGTTTCAATAATCCTAGCAGTTGTCTTCTTTTAAATTTAATGGAAAAAGAAGAAAAAAGCTATCAATGAACAAGAAGTATTCTGATCAAATCAGAAGGTCAGAGTTATAAAGCTTAGATATCTAAACAGTAATATGAATTTGCTCACTATTTTCATATTTGCTATTTAGGAAATAAGAAAAATCCACATTGTTGTAAGAGAGAAAATGAGGACTTCTCTTTGACTTTTCAGAGTTCTTATGAATCTTTCCCATTTTTGAGGAATTCTTACATTCTTATGAATCTTTATTTCTCATTTTAACATTCACCATCTCTTCTTTAAAACTGACATTGTGGCAGCTATCCTTACTGACAACAGTGATTACTAAAGAGAGTGTCCTTGGCACATTGTTCACACTGCTGCTCATTCCTGTCAACTCATGGAATTGACAGTTGGTCTAAGAATCAGTCAAACTCCTTTCTCCCACAGAGCAGCATCACTGGGACTGTCAGAATGGGTCCTCAGTGTGTTTGGCTGTTGACTTCTTTTGTTTTTAACTCCGAAAATCCTCCCCACTCTTTTCCTGACAGAACTGCCATTTTTAATGTGTATATATATATATATATATATTTTTTTTTTTTTAAGATTTTATTTATTCAACAGAGAGAGAGAGAGATCACAAGTAGACAGAGAGGCAGGCAGAGGGAGAGAGGGGGAAGCAGGCTCCCTGCAGAGCGGGGCTCTATCCCAGGACCCTGAGATCATGACCTGAGCCGAAAGCAGAGGCTTAACCCACTGAGCCACCCAGGCACCCCAGAAATGCCACTTTTAGAACATAACTTTATTCACTTTCTTGAAACATGGTAAAACCTGTTGTTTCAATATTCTGACCAGCCAATACGCAGCATACAGACACCACTTATTACTGTTCTCCAAAATGGTTGCCATAATCATGGCCTCTCCCAATCCTTACTGCTTTCAGTAAGTGAGGTGGTTGTTAAACGCTGGTGTCAGTAACTCACAGTACTGAATTTGAGGCAGCTGGCCTATGGTTAGAGCAATGCTGCATTATTTTAAGAGATCACAAAAAAATGTCATCCTTTTATATTTATGCATTCTAACAAACATCAATTTAGAATAAACACTTTCCCTATGTCCTTGGTCAGTTATGGTTGAAGATGAAATACTTCTGGTTTTCAGTAGACAATAAGAAACATAATCTTAATTCATTGAATTAGTAACCTAATAATTTCTACAAAAGGATATCCTTTTGTTTCCTTAATGTATTTCCTTAATATCCCATCAAAGTACCCTATACTGCTCCTTGTTGTCCATTTTTTTCTCCAGTAACATACCTGAGATAACTCCTATTACTATTAATAGCCCACCTCAGTTAATGATTAAGAGAAGGGAAAGGGAAAATATTATCATCTCCCATGGGACCAGGTCAGCATGTCCTGGGAGAGTATGGGCATGTTGAACTCTACTGGACTATTCTAATTTTTCCATCTTACCTCTTCTCTTGAACATTACTGACCTCATGCTGTAAGAACTTGGTGAATGCTTTCTCTCTGCTGCCATAAACAGTAAAATACAAAGCACTTTAACAAAATCCTTATTTTGTTTGAAAATTACTGGGGCGCTTGGATGGCTCAGTCAGTTAAGCATCTGCCTTCAGATCAGATCATGATCTCAGGGTCCGGGGATCAATCTCACATTGGTCTCCCTGCTTCTCCCTTTCCTGCTCCCTCTTCTTGTGCTCTCTCTCTCTCTCTCCCCTTCTCTGTCAAATAAATAAATAAAATCTCTTAAGAAATAGAAAATTGCTAAGGTATTTGCAACTATAGAGAGAAGTATCATTGTTTATTGTGACAAGAGCAGTCATTGATCATCAAAAGATATATTGGATGCCTGTTTTATGAGAATATTAGAGCTTGCGGTTTAAAAAAGATAGCTAAGGATCTCTCTGGTAGACTAATGAAATCATTGCCTCACAACTTCATAGTTCTTATCTAAAAAGCTAGTATAAAGCTGCCATAACCATACTTTGGAAGCTTTGACCAGACTGGAGCCAAGTCCAGGCCCCCAGGACCAACCAGGGCCTTGAGCATATTATTTTAGGCTCCCACCCACATAGAATCCTCTTTGGTCATCTGCTTTCTCACAAACTCTCTTCTCCAATCTTTACAGTCCTGAGTCCCAACTATTCCCCTGAATCTTTTGGAGCTCACTGCCATCAAACCTTCCAGTGACATTCAGGTCTTTGGCAAGTGTCTCATAGTCTACCTCTGTACCTCACCTCTTACTGTCAGTTGCTTTATTTCCACAATTCTAAATACCTTTATTTCCACTTCAGCAACTCATGCATACATCCTTTTTCAATACCTGAAGCACTCCATCTCAAAATCACCAAGTCTGGTGTACAATTTAGGAAAAACAGCAAGTTACCTATCCATAGATATAAAAGGGTATAAATACTCTTTTTACTTCTACCCTTTTCTATCAGTCCTTAAGCCCCTCTGGCTTTGTCACTTTCCTCATCCAACCTAAATCCTGTAGTGTAGCATGTCAGGCATATCAACTTTTTATTTTTGCCTCTTCCTTCCACAATAGCCCACTCTAAAAATCCACAAACTTGGATCAATCCTCCCTTCTTTATCCTTCACTTTTATTTCTAGGCCACAACTAGAGAAGAGTCTACAGCTGTTCACATTATCACTTCCAATTTACAAACCTCATCAGGGACCCAAATTCCCCTTGTGATCCCTTTATATCCTATGGATCAACTTCTTCCATTTGTTTCTATAGCCTTTCAAATCTTCACCGTTCTCCTAAAACTGCCCTTGCCATCCATATCCCTTGACTTATGTAAACAAAAAAAACCTGGCTTTGAATAAACCTGGCTCCAACATTTACTAGATTATAACCCTTGACGTGTTTAACGATTTCCCTTCTTCTAATCTTGCCTCCTCTTAAACCTCCAATCTAACTCTAATCATGTAAGCTTCTCTGACTAAAATGCTTCCATCTTCCCATGACCCCAGGGTTAAATCCAAACTTCCCCACGTGAACATAGGAGGCCCTTCATCCCAAGGCCTTTTTTCCCCTCCAGCTTCATCAGCATCTCATCCTGTGCTCTCACCATATTAAGCCATTTACTGCTTCCAAAATGGATATGAGATCCCCTGCCTGTGCCTGTGATTATTCCCCTTCCTAGAAGTTTCTTCCCCAACCACCACCATTTCCTTTCTCAGCTTTCAAGATTCCTTAGTCATAAAACTCTGATACCGCATCCCCTGTGAAGCCTTTTTCAATGTCCCTAAAAAGGGTTGATTACTTAGCATCTTTGTGCCCTTTTAATATCATATTAACAGCGAGGAATAGAATTATTCCACTGTATTTGCAATTAATTATTTACTCTGAGAATTCTGTAAGATCACTTCTCTATAAGATGGGCAGGACAAAAAGGAAGGACAAAATATTCTTTTTTTTTTAGTTAATAAATTTTATTTTTTAGATATAGGTTCACTGCAAAACTAAATGGAAAGTGTAGAGAGTTCCCATATATCCCCTGTCCTCACACATGCTTAACCTCTCCCACTGTTGACCTCTGCACCAAAGTGGCACATTCGTTATAACCTACACTGATAACCTACACTGATAACATCATTACCACACAAGGTTACCAAGGGTTCCCTGTTGGTGTTGTATATTCTGAGGGCCTTGACAAATGTATAATTACATGTATCCACCACTGTCCTGTCATAGAGATTAGTTTCACTGCCCTAAAATTACCTTCTGTGTCCTGCCTATTCATCCCTTCCTCCATGCTAATTTGGATCTTTTTACGATCTCCATAGTTTTGTCTTTTCCAGAATTATGTGGCCTTTTTATTTTATTTTTTTTTTAAAGATTTTATTTATTTATTTGACAGAGAGAGACCACAAGCAGGCAGAGAGAGAGAGGAGGAAGCAGGCTCCCCGCTGAGCGGAGAGCCCGACGCGGGGCTCGATCCCAGGACCCCGAGATCATGACCCGAGCCGAAGGCAGCGGCTTAACCCACTGAGCCACCCAGGCGCCCCGATTATGTGGCCTTTTTAGACTGACTCTTTTCACTTAGCAATATGCCTATATGTTTCCTCTAAATCTTTTAATGGATTCATAGCTCATTTTTTCTAGTGCTCAATAATATTCATTGTCTGGGTGTACCACCATTTATTTATCCATATACCTGCCGAGGGACACCTTGATTACTTCCAGGTTTTGACAATTATGGATAAAGCTGCTACAAACCCATGTGCAGGTTTTTGTGTGGACATAATTTTCGATTTAGTTGGGTAAATAGCAAGGAGCGCAATTGCTAAATTTAATAGTAAGAGTATGTTTAATTTGGTAAGAAACTACCAAACAATCTTCCAAAGTGGCTATACCATTTTGCATTCCTACCAGGAATGAATAAGGGTTCCAATTCCTCCACATTCTCACCAGGATTTGATGTGGACAGAATTTTGCATTTTAGCCTTTGGTAGGTGTGTAATGATATCTCATTGTTTTAGTTTTTTGCAATTCCCTAATGACATATGATGTTGAATATCTTTTAATATGCTTACTTGCCATCTGTATGTGTTCTTTAATGAGCTATATATTGAGGTCTTTCACCCATATTTTTTTAGAGATCTGTGTATTTATTTATTTATTTGAGAGAGAGGGCACACAGGGGCAGAGGGAGGGGAGAGGAAGAGAGAAACTCAAGCAGACACCCTGCTGAGTATAGAACCCAATGCAGGGCTCCATCTCACAACTCTGAGATCATGACCTGAGCTGAAATCAAGAGCCACCCAGGTGCCCCTTGCCCATTTTTTAAAAATATTTATTTATTTGAGAGAGAGAGAGAAAATGACAGAAGAGAAAGAGCATGAGAAGGGGGAGGATCAGAGGGAGAAGCAGACTCCTTGCTGAGCAGGGAACCCAACACGGGACTGGATCCTGGGACTCCAGGATCATGACCCGAGCTGAAGGCAGTCACTTAACCAACTGAGCAACCCAGGTGCCCCTCCTTGCCCATTTTTTTAATCAAGTTGTTTTGTAATTGAGTTTTAAGAATTCTTTGTATATTTTGGATAACAGGCCTCCATTAGATGTTTTTTACAAGTATTTTCTCCCAGTTTGTGGCTTGTCTTCTTATTCTGTTGACTTTTTTTTTCTAATTTTCTCCCGTAAATATTTACATGTTAATATTTAAACCATATAATACTATACCACATAATACAGTTTTGTCTCTTGAGTGACTATTGAATGTCAGAAAAATATTCAAAAGGAAACAGAGGAAACAGTCTGAGTCCACAGCCCACTTCAATTTTGAATGAATAGAAGAAGTCATTGAAGTGAAACATCAATTTTTTCACCAAAAAAAGTCTGTGTTTACTCATTCATGTACATCATTCTTATAAGCATTGACACTCATAGTAAGTGGTTTCTGAAGCTGAGTGATACAATATGCCAGAACTATAATGTCAGTACAACTAAATACATTGGCTAATAAGGTATTCTGTGTTTTAGTAAAATACCATAAAAATCTAGTCAGTTTCATCTCTTGCTGTAATTCATTCTTGTTTCTTAAATTACCACAAATATCTTCCTTTAAAACAAACAATCCCATTTCGTAGATGAACAAACTGGTACAGGAAAGCAAAATAATTTGCTAATACAGCACATCCATTAGGAGTACAAGTGGGAGTCAAACCTAGCTGTCAGATATCACCCCATCCTGGTGTTTGTCCCACCGAACTACCAAGAGCCAGTCCGTGCCTTTGCTGAGGGAAAAAAATCTGCTTAAACACTTAGCAAATAACACAGCCATGGGAATGGCTCTTGTAGTTTCATTCTGGAGAACACCCATACACACAGAGAGGAACTGAAAAAGAGACATTTTTGCCATCAAAATAAGCACACAATAATTTAGGAATAATGGCAAGTTACACCTCAGTAGATACGAAATAGTTGCATATGATTTAATCAAGGAAAAATACCTTAGAATTGAATTTTATTCAGGATTCCAGAGGAAAAGCAGGGATTATCAGAGTGAATAATTAGAATGTTTAAAAACAGCGTAAACAGGTAGAGAGAGGGTGGTTGGGTTATGGACATTGGGGAGGGTATGTGCTATGGTGAGTGCTGTGAAGTGTGTAAACCTGGCAATTCACAGACCTGTACCCCTGGGGCTAATAATACATTATATGTTAATAATAAATAAATAAATAGAAATAAAAACAGCATAAACAGAATGGATTGAAGATAGACTTACTTAAATCAAAAGTTCTAGGATCTTCAAGTTATATTTTATCACTGGTCTAAGTAATACCTGTTTTAGTTGGATAAAGGGTTTCTGGACCATTTTAAGGTAGAGTAACAAATGATTATTATGCTAATGGAAAATGAACAAGTCTTATATTCACTAACATTGAACTAATCTTTGATGGACTATAGTCCATAATTATACACTGTATTAGCTCGTTCAGGGGATACCTCTTAGGCACCTGGTACCAACACATTATCACTTTAATTTATCAGATTTCAGGATAAATTTAATGAAATAGATTTTTTTAATGGCTCTAGGTTAAAGGTTAATTAGTCATTCCATATTGTGTGTAAACCGAAGTTGCTATGTTAGAGAGGATTTTGTCCTTATTGGAAAGATATGAAAGATGCCCAGCAAAGACTCATTCATAGGAATTCTTTTAGTATGTGCTAACAAAAATGGTATAACTTTTAGAATAGACTACTTTTATTTGCCTTAAACAAAATTATATCTCAATATTGGGACACTAGGGAAATATTCAAGAGAAAAGGTAACTAGCCCTTTTATTTTAAAGGTAGGTATATGAATGGGTAGCTAAAAAGTGTCTCAGTAAATATTTATTGTAGGGATAGACAGATTGACAGACATATAAATGGATATTGAGCTTATTTGTTTGTTTAGTTCTATTTCTTTTATTTTCAGTGTTTTAAAAAATCTGCTTTGAAAAAAAAATTTTGCTTTGATTTTTCAATTTATAAATCAGAGGTATCTATACTATCAACCCATAAAATTAGACTTCAAAGATAGACCTTATCTTTTTCATCTGCCCTTTTCCCCACTATGAATGGGGAATAGCCGACTTTTCTCTTTTCACCAGAGCAACCCAGCCTCTGGACTTCCTGTATTAGGAACATAAGGTGGCAGTGGTGGAAACAGCAGAATGCCAGGATATTTTTCATGTCTACTTTATTCTTTGCACAACTCCCACCACCCTGTAGTTTTAAGAGATGATCAGGTGATCAAGTTTGTTTTCATTTACTGTGTATTCTATAGTTATCATGTGATGTAAAACTGGACCCTCGCCCGGAATACCATCGGTGTATACTGACTTGGCATCACCAAGAACCACTGCCTTGGGCACAGAGTACAGGTTAGTCATTCATACCAGTGGGTATTTCTATGCATGTATCCTGTTAAAACACAAAACTATGTATAACCTCTCTTCCTTGGATATACCTAATTTTGTAATTGTTATACATTGTCCTTTTTGAAAGAGTAGATGAGTTAAATTATTCCCAAACAGTACAGCGTAAGAAGAAAACAAGAGTAAAAACAAATTTTTTTAATAAAGGTTTACTTATTCCATTGAACCATATTTTCTAGATACATTTTTGAAATATAATTCTAGAATTATGGAAGATTTTTTTAAAAGATTTAATTTATTTTTCTGTCAGAGAGAAAGAGCACACAAACAGGGGGAGTGGCAGAGGCAGAGAGAGGAGTAGGCTCCCCGCTGAGCAGGGAGCCTGATGTGGTACTCAATCCCAGGACCCTGGGATCATGACCTGAGCCGAAGGCAGCTGGTAAACCGACTGAGCCACCCAGGCTTCCCAAGAATTATGGAAGACTTTTATGTATATGTTCAACCTCCAAGTCCTGAGTATAAAAGTTTGGTTGTAAAAAAAAGGAGGGTACTATGATTATGCTACCCTGTAATGTGAGATACAAGCTCAATTATAATGGGATTCTCTGTAGCCTCTATTATATCTTAGATATTGGTAAAGTTTAAGGACTAAGAAATCAATATTGATAACTCAAGAGTTCTGTAGTTACCTCCTCTAGACTTTAAACTTTTATTCTCAAGTATTCTAGTCATATTTACCTAACTTTTGATGTGTCTCCAGAAAAACTGTATTACCCTTTAAACAAAGGTCCTATCAAGTGCAAATATCAGTTAACATAGTGACTGAATACATAGGCAGTGTTTCCTTCAGACTTGCATTCAAATTGGCCACCAGCTAGTTAGTAGGACCATAGGCAAATTACCTAACCCCTTTTGAATCTTATACAAATTAAATGAGATAGTTAAGGAAACTATCCACTGTGCTGTCCACCACTTAGTAAACACTGAAGAAATGGTTATTGTCTTTTTAAAAATAAGTTTTAAAAACCTCTCTTTTCAGACACACATAACATTTTAGCCTGAACTGAAAATTCGGTGGCATTTTGCATGGTGCTATAAAATCCTGTTTTGTTCTTTGAAGCAGTAATTTCTAATGTTTATTTTTAAAGTTTAGTGAGAAGGAAGTAGGATACAGTGGCAAGGCGCCCCTTCCTAGGGGAAGCCTGATCTTCTCTCTTCTTCTCTAAGACCGGTGTTTCTGTTCCTTGATGTTTATTTTGAAAAGAACTGCAAGGACTCCCAACTGTATGCACTGTGATGTTGCTGCTGTAATGAGATCTTTCTTTCTAGGTAATCAGATGAGCAGCCGTCTGATGAGCATGCGCAGTGCCAACGGGTTGTTGATGCTACCTCCAAAGACAGAGCAGTATGTGGAGCTCCACAAGGGCGAGGTGGTGGATGTCATGGTCATTGGACGGCTATGATGGTCACCAGAGCAAGAAAGCTTTGATGCATGTCCACATATCATTGACTGTATCCTGTAATATGCAACGGCACAGCTAGTTTTTCTGATTTGGATAAAAGTTGATCTGTATAGTCAACATCTTGAACTATATTTCAGAAGAATTTAAATACCTTTTAAAGAAAAAAACACCTAAAAATAAATCTTAACAGACAACTCTATTCTGATTATATCAAAGCAAATTTTTCCTTTCCTGCAAATTGCTTTGTGTGTTCAATGCTAGGTCTGATAGCGATAACTTTTAGTAGACAGCAGTAGGTGCCTGCAGAACTTGTGTTTTTCTCATCTTTAAAATACAACTAATTATGCTCTTAATCAAGGCTGTCTGCTTATTTATACTAGCGTAGGCAACACTTGGATTTCCCTTCTTAGTATGCTTCATAACGCTTTTCAGAGAGCTTTTGCTTGTTCTTTATCATGTATCTCGTGTTTATGTGCACAGTGCCAACAGAAGAGTGACTGGGTGGAGGCCCTGCCCTGCCTCAGGGAGAGCCCTCCCCTGCAGAGCATGGGGAGGTGCCTCCCCCCAGTAGCCTCAAGGCACAGTACTCTTGGGCAGTAACTGGATACCTTTTATTTGAGTAAACAAACTGGGGGGGAAAATTGCTTCCTTAAGTGCTGACAGCCTTTTTAACCAATACATTTAAAATTGTACAGAACAAAAAATAAAATCAAAGACTGATCTTGTACAGATATTAGTGTTACCAGCATTCATGTGGAAATCAAGAGCAAAGAAAAAATAATGTTAAACAACTCTGTACCATAACATTTTCTGTAATGATACTGAAACTTAATGAATAAAAAAAAAATCCTTGATCATTATTTAAAAATCTATTGTATTGGTCTTGTTATTAAAAAAAGAGAAGATGTCATGCCATTTTAATGCAGTTCTGCTTGGACAAAAGGAATAGTTAAGATGATGTGTCAAGGGTAAGTGGTATAAAGGTGGTTGAAAATGTGATATAATTTATCTCTGTATTTTACTACAGCATTGCGAAAATACAAGTTAGAAAATATGAGAGAGAACCTACAGTTGGTCTGGTCTTTTCAGTCATAGCTAGAGAATAACAAGCAAATTTAGAAGGAAGAAACTTGATACAGAGAAAAAAACTAATTTCTTATCATAGATGCAATAAAAACAGATTTCAAACATCTACAGTTCTTTGGAATGGAGAAAAAGAATAAGTAATGAACGAGAGAATTGCTGGTGAGTATCTAGAAGTTTTTTTTAATCATGTTAGGAAGGAAGTGAGAAATGGGAAAAATCTGTGCTACACATAGAAAATATACAAACAAAATAAACTCTGTCCACATGGATCCAGTAATAAAAAACTTAGAGGCACTTTCTTTTTTTTTTAATTAAATTTTTTAATTTTTTTATAAACATATAATGTATTTTTATCCCCAGGGGTACAGGTCTGTGAATCACCAGGTTTACACACTTCACAGCATTCACCATAGCACATACCCTGCCCAATGTCCATAACCCCACCACCCTCTCCCGACCCCCCTCCCCCCAGCAACCCTCAGTTTGTTTTGTGAGATTAAGAGTCATTTATGGTTTGTCTCCCTCCCGATCCCATCTTGTTTCATTTATTCCTTTCCTACCCCTCAAACCCCCCATGTTGCCTCTCCACTTCCTCATATCAGGGAGATCATATAATAGTTGTCTTTCTCTGATTGACTTATTTCACTAAGCATAATACCCTCTAGTTCCATCCACATCATTGCAAAAGGCAAGATTTCATTTCTTTTGATGGCTGCATAGTATTCCATTATGTATATATTATATATATTTATATATTATATATATATTTATATATATTTTTATATATTATATATACATTTTTATATATATTTATATATTATATATATATAAATACATACCACATCTTCTTTATCCATTCATCTGTTGATGGACATCTAGGTTCTTTCCGCAGTTTGGCTATTGTGGACATTGCTGCTATAAACATTCAGGTGCACGTGCCCCTTTGGATCACTACATTTGTATCTTTAGGGTAAATACCCAGTAGTGCAATTGCTGGGTCATAAGGTAGCTCTATTTTCAACTTTTTGAGGAACCTCCATGCTGTTTTCCAGAGTGGTTGCACCAGCTTGCATTCCCACCAATAGTGTAGGAGAGTTCCCCTTTCTCCGCATCCTCGCCAGCATCTGTCATTTCCTGACTTGTTAATTTTAGCCATTCTGACTGGTGTGAGGTGGTATCTCATTGTGGTTTTGATTTGTATTTCTTAGAGGCACTTTCTAATGGTGGTAACAAGGGACAGTAAATATCCTGTAGGGTATACTTAGCAAATCAAACAACAAAAATTGGGCTACTAGTAAACAAGGTGTCAAATGATGGTGACTAATAAAGCCAAATAGTAAATAAGAAAAATTTGATACTGATATTTTTATATTTCCAGAGTTGAAAATAGAACTATCTATATTTTAAATATTTTATATTTTCATTTAAAGAACTTAAAGTTAATTAATAGAAGTTAAATGAAAGATCATGCAAAATGTTGTTTACTTGCATTCTTTGAAGAAACATGTATTAAGCATCTACTATATGCTTGGGTACAAGGTACACCTGCCACTGTTTAAAAAAAGTATAGGGATAACAACTGACATTATACTCCATCGAGGGAAATGACAAAAATGTACAAGTAACCATAATATTTAATATGCTTGATATTTGGTAATACATGGTAGAGTATATAGAATATGATAAGTACCATAATTCAGATTTAAAGAGTTGGGAAGAGTTCAAGTGAGAGCCTCCTCAAGGTAAGATTTCAAGGAGCAAGATGGGATTTTGGTGATCTTGAAGGAAGGGTAGAATTTGAATGATGATGATGATGCAGGAAGAAGGGTATTCCAAAAATAGAAGATTATGGACAATTAATAAAAATTATTTTTATCATAGAATGTATGCTCCACCTGCCAAGGACTTTTGTTTATTTGGTTCACTGATATCAGAATCCATACTCTTATAGATCACACTACAGAAACAGAAAACTGATGTATTTGTAAGACCAAAAAAGTACATTATGGGTTTGAGGCCCAAACTAAGAAGTTTTAAATACCAGCTTAAGGAGTATAGATTTATTCTAGAGATATCAAACTGTTTCAAGACTCCTAATCAGGGAAATGTTAGGATCAGAACTGTCTTTTAGGGAAAATGTTCTGGCAGCACTGAGGAGGACAGATTAGCCTGAGGGGAACTGGAGTGAGACAGGAGTTAAGAAGTGATCTGGTGCTGCAGCTGGGGGGCGGGGGGCGCTGGCGCAGTGATGACAGCCTTCACATTAGTGGTGTGAGTGATGGTGGTGGGACGATCATGACAGATGAATGTGCTTCTGGACATAAAGAATGGAGAGAGTTTTATGACTGATTCCAAATTCTGGAAAGGAAGGTATTGAAGTAAGAGATGAATCAAACTCTTTGGTCTTAACTGACAGAGAAAATATTAAACCATTAGCAAAAAAATGAATTTTGTGGAGGAGATGATGGGTTTGAATCTATGTTTGAGACGCCAGAGGAATACTAGGGTAGGCTTATCCTGTTGGCATTTAAAGTATAGGTTAGGAGCTCACGAAAGAGATACTGGCTGGATATAACCTTGGGGATCATTTACATGGTCGTGGTGTTTGAAATATAAGGGTGGATGGGAAAGATTAACAGAAGAGGACAAGGCCTTGGGAAGCACCTAATATTTTAAAATGTTGGAAGAAAAAGACCATGAATGGAATGAAAGAAAAAGAAGTTTGTAGAAGAGAAGAAACCAAGTAATTAAATGTCCCCAAACCAAGGAGTGTTTCAAGAAGGAAGGATAATCAACTGTGAAGAAAAAAAAAGAAAAAAAAAATGTCAAGCATGAAGGCTCAAAATGATTTGCTAATTAGGCAATCATTTGTGAGCTTCAAGAGTGCAATTTCAATAGTGGGTTGAGGACAAAAACCAGGATGCAAAATAGTCACTGTGAATATAGATTATTTGGAAGTTGTACATGTGAAAATATAGATACCAGATGGTACCTTAAACTGATAAGGTGGAAGAAGGACTTCTGTTTGTGAGTTTTGAGAAAGAAGGAAAACAGTACTGGGCATATTAAAAATGCAAGAGTAAGGTGCCAGATAGAAAAAGAAGACAAAGGAAGGGCTGGATTTAAGGATGCTGGGGGCCTAATTAGCCTGGAGAATATATATATATATGAATACATTTGAAGTAGATATAAGGGAAATTTAATTTAAAATTTAAGATTCAATGAAATGGTTATACTTGGCACAGTGGAAGTCAATGCCATATATTTGACCTAAGTTATTTTAGAATTACACATATATGATGTATTACAATTTTTGTCTTATTTGATACTTAAGTAGAAGACTATAGATGACATCTTCAGATTCTTATAACTATATGGAAGTCAAGCAGTTCCTTTTTAACCTGCATTTTCGGTTCTGTTTTAGTTGTTTCAAACCATATCACACAATGAGAAAAAGAACATAAGCAGATTGAGTGTGCCAAGTAAATGCTATTAAGTGATGTTGTCTGTTACAAGTGGATTCTTTGGATGGCTTTCATTTTTAAAATTATTTGCTAATGAACAAAACTTTGTGGACTTAACATACAACCAACTCTTGATCTTCATGAAACTCTGTATAACAAGGTAAGTCTTCATTATTCCCACATATAGAAAATAGATATTTATGTAAGTACAGAATTCAAAGCAAATGAACTATGTATCTTGTTATTCCAATTATGATGGATCTAAGTTAAATAATGCATTGCATTCTAACTTGCTTATAAAAAGTATTAAGCTGGACTCTATAACAGAGAATTACATTATTATAATGTTAATAACTTGACCTAGAGCAAAAAGGTTAAAGAATTGCTCAATTTGGGCCATTTTATATGGTCAGCTACTATTATGTCTCCAGTAGTATTTTTGCAACAACTCAATAATTTATTGAACAAGCATTTATTAAGTCCCTACAATATTCAAGCTCCAAGCTGGGCACTGAGGTTACAGTGAGGAATGAAACAAAGACTCTGATATCCAAGTGGAGGATGTAGATTTTGAGAAAAAAAATTATTTGAAATACAGATTATGAAAAGTCTATGAGGAAAATCCTATGATATGTTAGAGAGTAACTGGACGGAGGCTTAAATCATATTTGGTTGTTGCATCAGGGTGGATACAGCCATTAATAAAAAAGACAGAAATCACACTGAGACTTTATGAGTTAATGAAATAAGTGTTAGAGACATGGAAAAGCACAAAGGAAACATTAAGATGTCAGAGGAATAACTACAGGAAGCAACTATCACAACAGGGTCTGGGCGGCAAGTGGAAGAGGTTAGAGTAATCAGAATCTAGAAGGTCAGAGATGAGACCCTTTGGAGCTAGGACTCAACCCTTTAAGGAAAGGGCACTGCTCAGCTGCTAATTCTGAGTAGGGGGAAGAAATGGGGGCTAGAACCAGTTGCTGTTGCCAGGGCAACACTGACAGAAACACAAAAGGAACAGGAAGGAGCACAAGTTCCTTCTTCCCTCCCTCTGCCTTCCAAGATCCCTGTAGTCTAATGTAACCTATTGTTGAACATAACAGGAAGGCAGCTGGTGAAAGACACTGCTGGCAGAGTTCCAGCCCCAGCACCACAATGCAGAATGCAATGGTGGATTCCAAGCTGAGAGACAATCAGTGATCAAGTGACGGGGAAGGGGGTCTCTAAACAGGTGACATCTGAGCTCAGATCTAAAGAATGAAAATAAGCCCCACATGTTAAGAATTGAAAGAAGAGCATTTCAAACAGAGGAAAGGGC